CGAGTGTTTTGACTATGGCTTGAAATGTCCATAGATATTCTCTCTAAGAAGCCCCCATGCTGGCTGTCACAATGTCAGAGCCAGTGGTGACGAGTGCATTTGCAGGAATTGCTCTTTAGGTGGTATTTCAAAGCCTGATGCGAGTTTTCTTCTGCCTGGGTGTCAGTAGGAGATGATCCTGAAGAGCTGGGTGATGGGGGCCCAGGATGGTGACTCCCCCAAGGTCTGGCTGGTGGCAAAGGGTCCTGATTTGTCCCTCTGATACCGCACCCACTGCCCCGGGTGCTGGGACCTGCCCTTTGGTGGGCAGCTTGGTTTCATCTGGTGGTTCCCCCCAGCAGCAAGGAAGGGTTAAAGCTACTGTTAATGTTTCAACTCTCACTGCCCTGACCTCCCAGTTACAAGCCATGGTGAGACAAAGAAAATAGTATGTCCTTTTTAAGTATCGAGAGCCAAGAGCTGCTGGATTGGGGACCTCGTGAATCATCTCGGAGAGCAGTTGCTTGTTTAAGGGGATAAGAACTGGAGCAGTTGCTGTTTCAGGTGGGACCTGCCCTTTGGTGGGCAGCTTGGTTTCATCTGGTGGTTCCCCCCCAGCAGTAAGGAAGGGTTAAAGCTACTGTTAATGTTTCAGCTCTCACTGCCCTGACCTCCCTGTTACAAGCCATGGTGAGACAAAGAAAATAGCATGTCCTTTTTAAGTATCAAGAGCCAAGAGCTGGACTGGGGACCTCATGAATCATCTCAGAGAGTGGTTGCTTGTTTCAGGGGGTAAGAACTGGAGCAGTTGATGTTTCAGAAGGTGAATCATAAACCAAGCTGCTGTTTGTCATGCCTTAAGTCATCTACCAGATCCTCTTTGTGTGTGCTGGCATTTACGCAGAGCAGCCTACGGCATCTGTAATCCCAGAGTATCTTGGAATTACAGAGGAGGAGAAGGAATCCCTGAAGCCCAGGGGTTGAGGAGGGGAAAGGAAAGGAGTTCAAAGGATGCAGAAAGAGCTGCTGTGTCTCCAAGGCCACTTGGGGTTTTAAAATCCCTGGTTTGAGGTGCAGAAAGCGCAGCTGAGCTGGGTGTCGGGGGGGATGTCGTCATCCCTCATCCTTCTGTGCTTCTGGCAGGGGGGTGGCTGGGAGCCTCGTGCTTTTTGGGGCTGAGCTGGCTCTTTTTTTTGTTCCTGCAGGATGAAGACCTGGTGAAATGGCAGGCCATGTTTGAGGAGGTGCCCGCGCAATTAACAGAGGCGGAGAAGAAGCAATGGATTGCCAAGCTGAGCGCCGTCTCCCTCAGCTCCGATGCCTTCTTCCCTTTCAGGGATAATGTTGACAGGGCTAAACGGGTAAGATGGGCCCGAGGATGTCAGGGGTGGCTTTGAGGAACCATCTGCACAGCCTGGGCTTCTCGTTTGAGTTTTGGGCAGGCTGCTGAGGGACGTCTCCGCTCTGCAGCGCTGGCTTGGGTAGCGCATCCAGGGAAGGATGTTGCTTGTGGTTATGGGTCTCACATGGGTAGTAATTATCCAGCCATTGCTCAGTTTGTTGATTTGGGATGAAGAGAGGATTAAAGCTTATTAGACTGTTCAAAAACATCAAGATAAGGCCCGTTGCCTCCAGAGGAACCATTTTACTCTGATTTCTGAGCTGTGGAGAGAACCCACTGCTCACATGAGGAGCTCCCTTGTGAATGGCTTTGGGCATCGGAAGCTTTTGTTTGTTCAATACTTAGTGTGGTGGGATGTGAGTGAAGCACTTGGGGCTGCCAGCTCCTTTTCAGGGGGATTTTTTTGGTTTTCCATCCTCTAATCCTTCCACTTATCTCTGTGTCTTTGTTCAGAGCGGAGTCCAGTTCATCGCCGCCCCATCTGGCTCGGCCGCCGACGAGGTGGTGATTGAAGCTTGCAATGAGCTGGGGATAACTCTCATTCACACCAATCTCCGGCTGTTTCATCACTGAGTTGGCCCTGGGCTGTCACCCTCTCTTCTTTGGTCACAGTCTCACCAGCAGCAGTGACTGGAATATCACCAGCTTAATTAGGAGGCACCTGCAGTCTGTGCTTAGTGAGATCTTTCCCTCCGTTAAGAGACTGAAGGTGCAAGAAGTTGGCCTCCCATGTAGAAAATAAGTCTCTTTTGCAAATAAACATACGGTTCTTAGCGGTGTGGAGTCTGTGACGGTCTTCGTGGCATCCAAATACTGCATCCTCAGGAAAAAGGGGTTTATTTGTGAGGTAAATTTTATGGTTCAGGCTTTTATTAATTCATTAGAAGGCCTGTGGAATGGAATGAAAAGCCTGGCTCATGGCCAACGTCTTAATGAACTGATAAAAATCTGTGCTGTAAACTGAACTGGGCTGCTTTTTTTTTTTTCTTTCTTTCTTTTTTTGGCATCAGGAGGCGGTTTTCTCCAGGCGCTTCTAATCCATTATCCCTGGGAGCTTTTTTTGGCATCAGGAGGCGGTTTTCTCCAGGCGCTTCTAATCCATTATCCTCTTTCCCTGGGAGGAGAGAGAGGGGAGTTGGGGTCCTTTGTTTGTAGTCTTGGTGCTCTGAATGTGTGCCCCTGGGACGTGTGCTTTTTTGGGCTTTGAGGCAGCGTGTGAAATGGCTTTCTCTGAGGTAAAAAGACTCGTTCCTGTGAGTTTGATGTGCTTGTTCTCCTGCTGGGGGGGGGGGAGTTCAATTTGGAGTTCACAGGCAGGCATCTGGGCAGATGGATCTTCAAGGCATCTGGGAAGCATCTTGCCCGAAGCCACTTCCCTTCTCCCTTGTGCACAGTTTGGGCTGAGCAGATTTGAACTCTTGATTAGAAAAAAAAACCCCACAAAGTGGAAAATCTGGAGCGCAGCGAGATGAATCAAGTAACAGCCCAGACACGTTTTTGCTGGTGATCACTGGGACTTATTTCAAAGGGATTGTTTTCTCTTTTTGCTTTTTGGGCTTTGAGGCAGCGTGTGAAATGGCTTTCTCTGAGGTAAAAAGACTCGTTCCTGTGAGTTTGATGTGCTTGTTCTCCTGCTGGGGGGGGGGGAGTTCAATTTGGAGTTCACAGGCAGGCATCTGGGCAGATGGATCTTCAAGGCATCTGGGAAGCATCTTGCCCGAAGCCACTTCCCTTCTCCCTTGTGCACAGTTTGGGCTGAGCAGATTTGAACTCTTGATTAGAAAAAAAAACCCCACAAAGTGGAAAATCTGGAGCGCAGCGAGATGAATCAAGTAACAGCCCAGACACGTTTTTGCTGGTGATCACTGGGACTTATTTCAAAGGGAATGTTTTCTCTTTTTGTGTGTGTGTGTGTGTGTTTTTGTTTCATTTCATCAAATCTGTGTTGGCTTTTTTGGCAAGGAAGGATGCACAGTTCTGCAAGAAACGCTTCTGTCGTGGCTCTGATCTCGGCTGGTACGGAGCGGGGAGGCTGCACGTGCTCCCTCTGCTTAAGGAATGGCTGGAAGAGGGGAAATTTGGGTTGTGTTCCCAGCCCTGGCCCATCAGACTGCTCTCCGGGCTGTTGCTTCCCGTGGATTTGTCAGTGTTTGGTGTCTTCTGTGGTTTTATTAGTTTATACTTGAAAAGCTGAGGTTTGGACTTTCTCTCTTCCACTGTTTTATTCCTTCAAGGCCAGGCTGGATGGGGCTTTGAGGAACCTGGTCTGGTGGGAGGTGTCCCTGCCCATGGCAGAGGGGTTGGAACCAGATGATCTTTAAGGTCCCTTCCAACTTTAACCATTCTGTGATTCTACATGTCCTTCCTGTCAGGCTGTTTTGACCGAGCTGGGACGTCCCGTGCTGTGAGGTTCTCTCAGGAATCCCTCGGCCTCTTCTTTACCTGCATCTTCTAAAGTGTTGGCTAAAACAGGGACTGCCAGCTCCTGTTCCTGTGTCTTCCTGCTGATCTCACCCTTTGTTTGCTCTCCTTGGGGCACTGTTTAATCTACCCATGGAAGTTAATAGGTACTGATCTCCCAGGTGAGATCTCTGCAGGAGATGCTAGTAAATATCTAACCAAGGTGATACCTATCTAGGTACTTGTGCAGAGCAACTTGCAATCTTCTACGTGCACACAACCTCTCACAGCGTCTGCAGAGAGATGCTTTAGTGTCTTGCTGTGCCCAAGGTAAGGTTAAAGGATGAGCAGGAGTCGTATGGAGTTGGGGAAAGGCACCAAAGTGTCTGATGTCCCAAGGAAGTGTCCTTGACTACCCTGCCTCACGTGTCTGACTCATGGCTGAAAAAAACCTCTGGAGGCTCCTTTTGAGGTGCGCTGAGCTCCTGGTGCTAGAGGGGTCATCCTCCCCCTGTGCCCTGGGGAGGTCCCATCTGGAGCACTGGGTCCAGTTCAAGAAGGACAGGGAACTGCTGGAGAGGGTCCAGCAGAGGGCTACAAAGATGATGAGAGGCCTGGAGCATCTCCCTTAGGAGGAGAGGCTGAGGGACTTGGGTCTTTTGAGTCTGGAAAAAAAAAGGCTGAGGGGGGATCTGATCAATGCTGATAAATACTTAAAGGGAGGGTGTCAAGAGGATGGGGCTGGTCTTTTTTCTGTGGTGCCCAGGGACAGGACAAGAGGAAATAGCACAAACTTGAACATAAGAAGTTCCACCTCCACATGAGGAGGAATTTCTTTCCTGTGAGGGTGGCAGAGCCCTGGAAGAGGCTGCCCAGGGAGGTGGTGGAGTCTCCTTCTCTGGAGACATTCCAAACCCACCTGGACGTGTTCCTGTGGGACCTGCTCTGGGTGGCCCTGCTTTGGCAGGGGGTTGGACTAGATGATCTCCAGAGGCCCCTTCCAACCCCATGGGATTCTGTGAATGAATTACTTCTCCCTTTGATATTTACAATGATTAAAAGCCAACCCCACAGCTCTGTTCCTGTTTCTAATAGGAAAGGGCACAGGGGGATAGGGCTGCTCCCCTCAGTTGATGGTTTTTGGAGAGCCGGGGGATTGTTGCACCACCCCTGAATGAGAACAGCTCCCAAAAATGTGGAAGGAAACAGAGGGCAGGGAGGAATCATTCTCAGCCTTCGCTGGCAGCAGCAGATTTTTTATTTTTTTTTTTTTTTTTTTAATTTCCTTCAGCTGCTATGTTCCTGGCTGGAATAGAGTCCTGATTCTGGTTGTTCCTGTGCTCCGACCGAAGCTCTGTGTTTTCTGAGAAGACAAACCATGTGGAGATGCTCCTCCTCCTCTTCTGGACAAAGAACAGCTAAAGGTTTAAATGCCACTGGGCTTGGTGGTGGCTGTGAGCACCTCGATGGGAGCCCAAAAGCTCCCTACTAACGGGTCACTTGGGTTGGACAACATTAGTTGATCTCAGTGCCCCATGGATATAATTTGATCCTGTTTTTTAAGGTCCAGCTGCTGTTCTGTTGCTGCTTCAAGCTCTATGGGCTGGGAATCTTCAAAAACCTTGGTTCCTTTTGTTGTGGGTTGTTTCTAAAAAGAAAGGCTTGGGGTTGATGCTTTGGATCTCACAAGTTTCTACTGCCTCTGTGCTGCCCTCTGGTAGTGGTTTTTAAATGTAACTGAAAAGATAAGATTTAGCTGAAGGACAAACTACTCAGAGTGACACTAGTAAGTGTCAAACCGAAGTTGTCAGTGACCTAAATCCTCCTGCTTTAAGGTGTGGACAAACCCCTACAGAGAGCTTGGGTGAATGTGGTGTTTAAATCATGTTATCCCATGCTGCTTACTGCAGGGAGCAAGGGGTGTTGGTGCCATGTGCCATCAGGGTGAGGACATCAGAGGGGCCTGGGACATCGGGGTGAGGACATCAGAGGGTCTGGGACTCCTGTTTAGCTGGGCAATTACCACGTGAAGTCCATTGCTTGGTGGTCAAATGAGTAATGGTGGTGGTCAAGTGATCTTTGTGACTGAAGAAGTGTTCTTCTCTGTCTCTGTGCGTGCCAGTTTTAGTTCTCATCTATTTGAGCTACTCTTTTGGCTGTTGAAGAGATAGTGAAATGCTTGCAGGTGGACTCAGTTCTATTTGAAGATGTCTTGGTGGCTCTCTAGCCATCTGTGGAAGCAAGGGCCGCGTGCGTGTCTCATGTCAAGAAGCCAGGTTCTATTTTCAGGCTATGCTTTTATTCAATCCAGAGAGAAATCCATTCACTCGAGCAATACAGCATTTCTGTGGCCAAGAGAGGAAGGTGTGGCCTGAGGAACGGTGGCAGAACCTCTCCTGGTCTGGGTTTGCAAGCGCCGTAGAGGTTTTTTGCAGCGGCGGCAGCACCAAGCAAAAGGGATTAATTGCTTGCTTTGGTCATTGGAATCAGGACTGGCTTTGTTTTTGAAAAGGTTTTGAGGAGAATTTTGGTCACCTCTCTCCCTCCCTGCCCCACAGAAGACTGGAAAGCCTGTCTTCCAGAAGACTGGAAAGTCTGTCCCCCCCCACCTCTTTGGAGGCTTTCTGCAAAGGTAAGGAAAAGGTTTCTGTCACATTGAATTTGTCATTTGCATGTGCCAATGGAGATGGAATAGCTGGGAGTTGGAAAAAAAGGTGTGACAGCCCTTCTGTAAACCCTTTAGATGGACACAGGCAAGTTGTCCTTCAGAGCAGAGAGGGGTGAAGCGTGGCCTGGAGCAGGGTCTCAGAGACCCAGCACCCCTTTGGGTCTGTGGGGGAGTCATTGGGCCCAAGGAAAGTTCATCTTTGAACACACCCAACTTCAAGGGCAGGGATGGCCTCGCTAATTTTGGCAACTCAAAACGCAGAGTTCTACAATTTAAGTGTCTGGTTGGACTGAGGACCATCTCTTTACCTCAGTTGATGTCCAAAGCAGGGAATATTTTCCTGTCCCTCCCCCCTTTTTCTCTCCTCCACCTCGTCCCACAAAGCAAGCCTGCACCTCCTGAAGCATGGCATACATACTCAGTGTCTCTGCGCTCTACCTGGGGCAGGGGGTGCAGCTGGAAGTCTTTAATTAACAAGCTGCTCTACAAACATTCTCTTCATGCTTCAGTGAGATGTTTGTTCCATCTTGTTTCAAGGCAATGTTACTCCAGCTCAGAATAATTAGCATCTTCATCCTAGATTCCATGGTAGCAAAGAGAATCACTTAAACTACATGCCTGGTTTGTAAATCTTTTTATTAAAAGAGTTGTTTTTTTTTCTTATCCACAGTAGTAAAGCTTTGGCACTTACAGTATAAAAATAATCACT